GAAACCAGACTTACACAGGGCCCTAGAAAGCGGCATTATTAGGGAGCCGAAACTCCCGGTATGGCCCACTGAAGGGTTTATTAGTTGCCACTCAGCCGAAACTGAGCGGCGCCCACTTAAGGGTTTATCTCCATTTTACGTTCGGAGTGGACGGATCGCCTCAAGATTTTCGGACGTAGAAGGAGACACTGAAAAAGCGACTACGCCAAGATCCTCTATCGACTGTCGCGGCTTAAATCTTGTGCAGTCTCTGCTCTCTAACAACACCGTAACCAATTGAGAGATGGTTAGGAGCCGAAATAAGAACAGATACTACACTTGATCTTAGCCATTAGGCCGAGAAGCGATCTTTAACTTTACGATCACCTAACTTTACGCTATCACCGCGATCACCTAACTTTACGCTATGGAATCATGTTTCTACCACTGATCTCTATAATACCTTATTATAGTTATTATATAGATAATAAGTTATTATATAGATCAGTGGTTTCTACCGATACTTTTTTGGGAGTTTCTAAAACGTCGAATTCTAAAAAGCCGAAACGCCGAAATGCCGAAAAACCTTCTAGGAGAAACTGAATAAAAAACGGAATGAAAGCAATGAAAAACCGGTAGTCAACCCCCGCATTAATTTTTAAGTTATTGTTTTGAATTCTATTAAAAAAATTCAAAACATGTAAAATTAAAAAAATAGTGTAGCAATAAGTTTTGTATTGCTATGGCATCTGTGTTTCGTACATCGAAGTTAGAGTGATTTTCAGCAATAAGGTAAGTTAAGTGGAACCTGCACAATAAGAGAAAAGTCTGTCACTAATGTTAAATATGCACAATAATCTGTTATCACAACAAGAGTAAAATTTTTATTTAGTAAATTTTTTGTTGTTAATTTTTTCTATATGTTTCTTTGTTCTGTGTTAGTTAACACAGGTTAAAGATTAATTAATCTGTGTTTTTTAATCTGTGTTAGTTTTAATTTTTAATAAGAAAATTAGAGGTTTGAAAGAATTGGAAGTTTCTTTTTTTATTTTTTTTTTTAATTTAAAAGTTTTATTTACATAATATAAAGTATTCTTTGAAGTATGCCTGTTTCAATAGTATGGTTGATCCATCAGTTTGACAAACCTCAAGTACTTTGTTTTACTTATATAAGGAAAACAGCCATGTTTTCCTTAAATAAGCTGAAACAACAACAAAAGGCAATATATATATACCAGCAGTATAGAAATTTTACATAAGCATGTTATAAATTACAAAAAATATATCTGCAGTCTACATTCTGGATGGTTCACTCTTATATAGCCTGTCTAAATTGAGGAGAGCGATCATAAACAAAACAAAACATAAATAAATCAAATAAAATAAATAATACACAGAAGGTTGCTATTAGTCAACATTCAATTTTATATCTTATATATCTTCTATGGTGATATATATTTTATAACTAGTGGTACAATTGTTGTTTCTATTTATCTTGATGTAACAACTATTGATTTAATTTAGTTTTGAGGACATTTTTTTTCATGTTGTAAAAAGGGATTGTTTTTAATTTATTTTATAGTTAATTCCAGTCCATTAATGTAAAATATTTATAGGAATGTTTACTGTAGGATTTTGTATTATATGTTTACACACTCAGTGCACCTCTACAAGATTTACTTGTGAATTGACAGCTAATTGCACCACAAAAAAAAAACCATTTATTATATATTGAGCTTTTTTTTTATGCAGCTGTGAATAAGTAAACAATTTTCAATTTTGGTTATGCCATGTAATTTTAAAATTTGTAGTGCTTTAAAGATGTGAATGTATGGGTACTTTTTGGTAGAAATTTAATAATCCTGACTGCTTTTTTCTGCATGATAGGCAGAAAATAGGTGATTCACTTATGTTTTGATTCCATAATAGAAGACAATATGTGATGTGAGGGTGAATTAAAGTATAGTAAATAGATTTTAAAGTTTTTTGTTGTATGAAATGTCTTAGCTTTGATAAAATGGCAAGAGATCTAATCAACTTATTAAAGATATCATTATAAGTTCCGGCTAAGCTATTGTCTAGCTTATACCCAAGTAGTTTACAAATTTTTTGCACCAAAGTTTTTCTCATTTAACTTAATTTTGAGCTGCTGTTCTAATTTTTTGTGATGACTTTTAAATATTATTAAATCAGTTTTTATAAAGTGTTTTTTTTTTTTTTTTTTTTTTTTTTTTTTTTTTTGTTATTCACTTCCTTAAGGCCAACAAAAATTTGCAGATAGTTTGGCATTAATAGTTTTAAATCAGTTTTAAGAATAGATATAACTTTGGTAGTTTTAAAGTTTTCTGGGAAAATACAACTTAACAAAAAGATATTTGAAATGTTAGAACAAATTCTTGAAAGTTTTTAATAGTTTTAAAATTTTAAACGATTGCTAAACATATTTATTTTAATGGCATTAAATTTAGAGTAGTTAGTTTAGCAGCAAACTTAAATTTTTTTAAAAAAAGTTTGTTAAATAAATTTTATTGTTATTATTCTTTGAAGTCTTTATATGTATACTAATTTATTTGTAAGTATACTAGTGTATTTATATTAAGAAAATTGACAACAAATGCAAGCATTAGGAGAAACTTTTGTGCTGTTTATGAAAAAAGTGCTGTTTATGAAAAAAGTGCTGTTTATGAAAAAAGGTATGTCCTAATCAAATTATTATATTAAAACTGTCTAGTAAGAGGATAATTCGTTACTGTTTAGAAACAAAATGGACTTTGTATATGAAGTTCAATATTTTGTTTAAACTGGAAAGAAAACTTTTATATACATCAGGAACTTTTGAGGAATCAGGACTCTTTGAGCATTAAAAGGAAGTATTTAATTCCCCATTATAAGACAAAAAACAATACATTACACACTAAAAACAAAAAAAAATTGTTATATAGTCAAGATTTTTAATTTGATTAAAAAATTAGAATTTTTAAAAAAGCCAATATTCTCAAATAATACAGAGGTCCTGATAAGAAATACAATAAAGAATGAAGTAAGTTTATATTTAGATATGAATTCATTATAAACAGAGCAGCAAATTTATGGAACACATTGGGAACACAGCAAAATTACGGAGTGCATTGGAAGTTGTCAAGTCAACCAATGTAAACAGTTTTGAGAAAAAAATAGACAAATTTTTATTTATTTATTTTTTTTCTAATTTTCAGTTTCTGCTGAAAGTTGAAAAAAGTTATCAAAAATTATATTTGTTAAATTGAAGTTATATTGCATTATATTATCAAAAGCTTTTAAAGTGAGTTTCTAACTCACTTGCTGTTAAGGCAGCTACAGTTTGTCTAATACTGAGGATTATTATATATTTTCAAATGTAAGCATCAGTTTTTTCAGCAATTTTTAGTTTTTTGCTATTACTGAATATATATATATATATATATATATATATATATATATATATATATATATATATATATATATATATATATATATATACATATATACATATATACATATATATATATATATATATATATATATATATATATATATATATATATATATATATATATATATATATATATATATATATATATATATATATATATATATATATATATATATATATACATATATATATATATATATATATATATATATATATACATATATATATATATATATATATATATATATATATATATATATATATAATCAGTAATAGCAATATATATATATATATATATATATATATATATATATATATATATATATATATATATATATATATATATATATATATATATATATATATATATATATATATATATATATATATATATATATATATATATATATTAAGCTCGGTCGAATTCATTCGAATTTGTCACAATTTCGATTTTTCGAATTTGTGTAATAAAATTCGAAGTGGTCAAATTCGAGTTTTAGTCAAAATCGAAATTCAAATGTAAATTCAAGTTACTCAAATTTTGTCAAATTCAAATTAGGTATTTTCAAATTTTTTCAAATTAGTATAAAAAATACTCGAAAATTTTTTTTTATTTAGTTTAATTACCCAGAATATGTTGAGGGTGAATTTTATGACTCATTAAGAGTGGGGGTGGGGTCTGACTAAAGACCGACTAAATAAGTGCAAATTTTGTACCTGCGAAATTACATAATGGCGAATGTTGTAACTGCAAACTGGCAAATCTACATAAGTGCGAACACTTGCAATCACTGGGATAAGTGCGCCAAAAGAATTTGTAAACACTGGCTTAGATATGAATCAATTGCAATAACTGACATGAGTGTGAACTTGCATATGCGCAAAGCAATTTTAAAAACAGGTATAAGTGCGCCGAATCTGAAGATTTACTCATAAAAAGTTTGAAATTTTTTACTTTTTCAGATTAATATGGAAAAAGATGAGATGAATGTACAAACATTTAAAACCAAAATATGCGCCCGTGGCGCAGTGGTTAGAGCGCTTTCTTTATAAGCAAGAGATTCGTCTGGACATGCCATCGTTAAGGAAGGAGGCGTGAACTACCTATTTTAATGCTATTTCGCGGTACTCTGTGACAAGACCGTAAGGTCTTTTTCGGACACCTAAAGCAAAAATTGAAAAAAAGAAAAACAAAAAATATTGAGCGGGGTGGATGTAGAATGGTTCAAATATTGGAAAATTTTTTTTTAATGTTTAATGTATTTACAAGCGCAAATATAATTTAAGGGCAATTGCCCACTATTTATAATTGGTCGTCATTCGCTCTAAGCAATAATCGTAAGTAAGTAGTAAGCAATCTATTTTTAAAATAAAACGTTGACATTTATAAAATAACGATTGAGAATTATATTTAACGAATAAGAATCATATTTAACATGTAAATAGGTTCAAAAAAACGTCAGTTACTGGACGGTTTACCCAAGTTAAAAACGTTATTCCTGATTTCAAACAATATAATAAATTTGATAAAAGGAACAAAAAGGAACATTTTCCACATTTTTATATATAATCAATCACTGTCAATGCATTGTACCCTAATAGTTGATGGATTTTCATCTCTGTTTCTTAAGGAGGTTCCAACTCTTATGTTTGAAAATACTGTTGATTGGCTGGTTGAAGTAGACCCAGCCTTCGATTGACTTTGAAGACTAACATCCAACTTTTTTTTATTTCCTTTACCCCCTCCCTTACCAAAATGAATTTTGGCTGAACCTTCTATCAAAACTTCAGTTGTTTTGTCCTGAAGAAGATCCTCTTCAGCATTCTCCTCTGCTTCATCCTCGTGAAACTTTGCGGAGATTTTAACCTTTGGCAAGTTTTCCTTACAGTAAACTAGCATGTGGACATTTTCAACATCAAGCTTTGTCCTTTGGTAGGTCACAATTGCACCTCCTGATGAGAACACTCGCTCAGAGCTCGCTGACGATGTCTGAAAAATGAAATTAGTTTAATATTTTTTCAAATGTTCAAACAATTTAAATGAAAGTAGACTGGGAAAAAATTTTCGAACGGCTAAAGTTCAAATTTAAATTTAAGTGACCAAAGTTCAAAAATTCGGTTATTTGAATTTTGGAAATTGGCGTGTCCCTATCCCTTTTGAAAAATAAAACTATTTCAAAATAAAGCTTAAAAAAAATATATTTTAAATATAGTTTTTTTTTACCTGAACACAAAGGTATTTTCTGGCACACTTGGCAATAAGAAGATACTCCCGAAGATGCCTTCTCCACCATTGTAGTACATCAGCATCGGCTGGAGGAGGATTTGTTAAGTTGAGATACCTGTTCATTTCCAACTGCATGGGGCTAATGGCTGCCTCAAACAGTGACCGGGTATGCTGGCTTGACTGAGAAGACCTCATTTTAGCTCTAAAAAAAAAATTTATATAAAAAAAAATTTTTTTAACCTGAAACTATTCGAATTTTAAATTTGAATACCAATTACCTAATCTTAGCTTCAATGCTGTAGTCTTCCTCATCAACTTCCTCAAAAATTCCGTGATTTAATTCATGTACTAGCTCAACTTCATTCTCCTTTATCATCAGCTCAATCATTTCCCTGTAATTCGAACTTTCATGTTGGGCAAGTGTGAGTCCTTTGTAAAATGGGTGGAGAATTGCTCCATAAGCATAGAGCTTGTTTTTGGTCCCACAAGGCGGGAATCTCTTTTCCAACTTTGACTGTAGGGTTTTGCAGAACACTTTGGTCTCCTCGCTGATTGTTGGTTTGTTGAGTTGAGGATTTAGATAACCATCGATATTAAAAAGTTTTGACACCACATAGCAGATGGTTGGTTTTTGGTCAGAAGAAAAGAATAAAGATATCTCTCCAATCTTGGTGAGTGGACCAATAATGGCAACAATCTGAAAATAGAAAACTGTAACAATTTTGACAACTATTATTTAACAAGTTTATACAAACCATCCCCCTACTCCTCCTAAAAATGACCTAAGCAATTTAATAACTTTGAGGCCCTTGGAGATAAGTGAGTCCTAAATTTTGGTACAAAAAAAGACTCTCGATTTCAATGTGGAGTCCCCTTTTAATGCCGTAAGGTCATCCTTACTCCCCTGAGATAGGATGCCTGATACTCAATAACTGAATACTCAAAAAAAACTATTCAAAAAAAGTAAAAAAGAAAACTAATTTAAGAACTATTTTTAATATTCGGAATTAACGGGAATAACGAATTTTATTAATTCGGAAAAAAATCTAACTCATTCACCTGTTCAAATTCCTCTGATGTAGGGATTTTTTCTCTTATCTTGGGATCAGTTCCCTTGCTGAAGTCCTCTTTGATCCTCTCAAGAGCTGGCCTCAACTTTAAAATGGATCACATCATCATCAAAATGGAGTTCCAGCGGGTTTCAACAGGTGCAATGATTTTGACAAATTCAACTAAAAGAATTATTGGTAAAATTTTGGTTTAAAACTAGTCAAACTAGGTTATACCAAAACAAACTTCTTTTAAATCGTGAGTTTAATTTTCTTATACTATACAATGTATAATAATATCAGAAATTGGTTAATGGGCTAGGGGAATAAAGCCCCAAACCCTGCACATTTAGGGATCCAAACCTTTTTAGCTGAGCTTTTTTTAAGAAACTTGTTTAGATTTCATAGAGTGTAACTTTGCCATAAAAAAAAAAACACTTTTTTTAAATAGCTCCGGGCCAACAACAAAAGTCTTATTCCGGCACGTTATAACCAAATTTATTATATAATATATATATTTATAAAATAACTAAATATAACATAAATAAATAATATGTAATAAATATAATAAAATATATACATATAATAAATGTACAATCCAAACTTAAAATTGAAAAACTTTGAAAGTTTAAAGAAATGAATTACCAGTTTCAATGTTTGTATTATCCTTAGATTGATTGTTTATCCTGACACACTCTTTCTTAATCCTCTGTTGAGCAATGCTGCTTTTGTGAGTTCTGGATGACAATTTCTTGAATGCATCAACAGCATTCTTTACTTCAGGGATGCCGAGACACTCAGTCACCACAAGGTTAAGTATTTGGTCAACACACCCAAGGCCCTCCTGAATTTCTTCTGTCAGTTTTGGGATGGCTGCTAGCATATTAGCTGCATTATCACTTGTGCAGGTCTTGTGGACATTTGATAGAAGGCCTACAATCTCACTAATTGCCTTGTCAAGAAGTTCAGCATTGTTTTGAGATGTATGTCTACCCTCTGCACTTCCACAATACACCAGCAGCTTCTCTAGGGTCCAGTTCTTTAAGATATAGTGAAGTGTCAAACCAAGGAATGGATCGAAGTTTTTAAACAAGAAAATAAATTTTATTTTATATCAAACTTTATTACTATCAGTTCATTCTATGTTAATCACAAGGCTGGATTTACCTATAGTTCAACTAGGCCGCGGCCTTAGGCCCCACGAATTTCAAGAAATTATCATTTCTCTTTTTATATACAAACTATCATTGCTTTGGATATTTAGTCAATTGAAACATATCTAAATAAGTTAAAAAAAAAAGTAAATAGTTATTTAAAACAAAAATAATTTATGTAAATGGAATAAAAAGTTTTAGTTTTATGTTTAAATTCAATCCTAATCGAACGAACAAAAAAAATAATGAAGAAGAATATTGCAAAAATTTAGATCCTATGGAGCCTATGAAAATCCCTGAAAAATAAAAAAATTAATTTAGTTTTTGATTATGACGAAAAACTTTTGCAAAACCTTTTTTAGGGCGCCACAAATTGATTTTACCTAGGGCCCCGGAGTGAACACCAGATGTTATTTCCCTCTCCTGTAAAAAAATTAACAAAATCCAATTATTAACGTACTATTAATTTTTTCAAATGACTTACTTTGATGACCACAAATCAGTTGTGAAAGCTACACCAACAGCATTGTCTTTTAGACCTGTTACAATCTTGTTCGTCACTGCCTCCTTGACCAATCGGTTGAGAAGAGGAAGTTTTACTCTAACCATTGTTCTGGCGGACTTCACGTGGAACTTTGGATCCAAGTATTTGACAAAGTTTCAAAATGCTGCCTCATTGACATGGTTGAAGGCAAGATTACTGCCTGCTAAGTACTTCATCACAGCCAAATCAAATTTTAACTGGACAGGTGACCTGACATTGTGCTTGACAATCCTCTGAAAATATGGTGGTGTGGTTGTGACAAATGAGGCCCTACCACCAATTGGCAACTTCCGAAAAAGTTTCTTTCTGGTTGGTCTTTTGTTGGGGTAAACGACACCTAATTTAAACAATTTAATGATACCAAATGGGTATATTAAATAATAACTATTTATATTAACAATAGAAAATCAAAACCATTTCATTTTAAGTTCTAAAATTTGGTAAAGATTGCTATTTTATTTTAAAATCGATTTTAGTCAAAATTTGATCTTACTTTGTGAAGCATCGACATCAGTTCCGGAATTAGAGAGAGTTGAATCTCAGTGGTCAGATTGGTCTTTTTTCTTGTTAGAAGTTCTTTTCTCCACTTGGTTGTATAATTTATCAAGCTTCTTAGTATCATTTAGTCTTTTTTGATACCATGCTGCCTCGAATGAAATAACTGCTCTGGCCTGTTCCGGATGTAAAGACCTAATATGAGTTCTCATGGAGCTAGTATTTGAGTTAGGTGTGGGAAGAATCTTTCCACAAATTGGTCCTGTCCCTGCAGGCACTTTGATATGACAAATTACCTTGGCATTACTCTTGTCCTCTTTGTTAAGAGCTAGGATTTTTGCAAAATAACACCATAATTGGTGAGTTTTTTTAACCATGATGACTTGATTTTAGCTTAATTTTAGTTTAAAATTGAACTCGTCTTTTTAATAAGTAAAATTATAAGTGCTTTTATTTATAATGTAATGATTGTAACATTTACAATTCCCGATGGACAAATTATATACCATTTTCTCTTTGGAGATGTAATAATGATTGCAACACTACAATTCCCTTGGACATTATTTACGCACGAAGGAAATCGCATAATTCATTTGAATGAGTATAAAAGTCGTTGCGTTAAATTTTTTAGTTGATCACGCAATCTTTTCATTAAATTACAAATTTTTCATTGTAACATCTACGTTTAAAAGTGAAAAAAAAAAAAAAAATTTCTGTATCGCCCAATAAAAGCATAGTTTTGCGCGCAAAAAATAGAATCAGCCAATAATGTTTTAGAATTTTATTACAAAGCTCATTTTGTTGCAGCGCATGGAGTTATTTTATAATTGCTTAGGAAAATGTTTTTTAGACTCTATTTTAATTCTATTCCAAATTCGAAACTCAAATTTGAATTTCAAATTTTATCAAATTTGTATCCAATTAATCAGAATTCGAAATTAAAAATCGAATTCAAATTCAGATCTCAAATTTGACAAAATTTGAATTCAAATTCAGATCTCAAATTTGACAAAATTTGAATTCGAAATTGACCTCGAATTCCGAATTTAGTCAAATTTTTTTGAGTCGAATTCAAAATTCGTCCGAGCTTAATATATATATATATATATATATATATATATATATATATATATATATATATATATATATATATATATATATATATATATATATATATTATATATATATATATATATATATATATATATATATATATATATATATATATATATATATATATATATATATATATATATATATATATATATTTTCCTAGAGTTGGAGATTTTTTAAACCCATTTGTTTTTATATAGTGTTTAGTTTTGAATACTTTTAGTAATGGTAGAAAAAGAAACTGTTTTGGAAGTAGTTGTTTTTTTAATTAATGAATCTGCTGCATTACACAAAAAACGCAGATATATATATATATATATATATATGCATATATATATATAAACTCTATATATATATATATAAACTCTCTCTCTCTCTCTCTCTCTCTCTATATATATATATATATATATATATATATATATATATATATATATATATATATATATATATATATATATATATATATATATATATATATATATATATATATATATTTAAACTCTCTCTCTCTCTCTCTCTCTCTTTATATAATATATATATATATATATATATATATATATATATATATATATATATATATATATATATATATATATATATATATATATAAACTGTTTTTTGTTTCAGTAACTCTCAACCTAATAGTTGTTGCTTGCCTTGTTGGGAGTGAATCAGAATTAAAAAAATTTGTAGAATGCATTTAAAATTAATTATATATAAATATATATATATATATATATATATATATATATATATATATATATATATATATATATATATATATATATATATATATGTATATATATATATATATATATATATATATATATATATATATGTATATATATATATATACATAAACTCTATATATATATATATAAACTCTATATATATATATACATTTAAACTCTCTCTCTCTCTCTCTCTCTCTCTCTCTCTCTATATATATATATATATATATATATATATATATATATATATATATATATATATAAACTGTTTTTTGTTTCAGTAACTCTCAACCTAATAGTTGTTGCTTGCCTTGTTGGGAGTGAATCAGAATTAAAAAAATTTGTAGAATACATTTAAAATTAATTATATATAAATATATATATATATATATATATATATATATATATATATATATATATATATATATATATATATATATATATATATATATATATATATATATATATACATATATATATATATATATATCAGGGTGGTCGCAGCTGGTCTAAGATCCTCTAAATTCCTCTTTTTTTAAAAATCTTCTCTAAAGTCCCCTATTATCCTCTATAAAATGGAATATTTGATTAAATCTTCTTTTTAACTTTTTTTTTTTAACTTTTTTATTTCTTGGTGGAATGTTCTATGTTACAAATTCCTAACCTGCAAAACTGGTTAATATCGTAAAAGGCATTGGGTTGTAAAAAATCAATTTTAGGAAATCGATGTCATCATTGTTGTAGATAGTTTTATATATTGTTATATATTTCATGTTATGTAAAACTTCTTTAACATAAATAGATTTATATAACATAGACACCCAAAAATTGGGTCTCTATGTTATATAAAAATAAGGTTATTTTTTATTGAGAGATTTAAAAAAATAGAATATTTTTGAATGTATTATAGTCTATGTTGATGTAATTTTGAAGTTGTGCAAGGGGGCAAGGAATTTAGACGTTAAAGTACTTACACACAAACTAATCTCAATATACTACAAGAATTAATAACAAAAATAACTTCCAGAAGATTACCAATACTTTCTTCCTGCCATCTTCAAAATGTTGGAAAAATTAATTTACTGTGGATTTTTACTACATTTATAAAGTGTTACTTTATAAGGCATAAAATTGGCAGTAATTTTTGTTTGACAATTGCTGTTTTCACAATTTTTTTAAACTCAATCACTTTTGATTCAATTCAATTTATTAAAAAGTAAAAAACAGTTTTAGACTTCAACGGTTGAAATTATTTTTTAAACTTCGTTGAAGAAACTGACATTGCTCTAGCATAAATTGAGATCGACCTGATGAAAGATGGTATTATTTATATATGTGATAATTAATAAAAAACAATTAGTTTTTAAATGATCAAATGAATGCTGGCCTTTATTATATGGCTGGTTGTGTATTATATTTTGTGCATAGTTAATGTAACAATATCAGTCTCTTTGTTCCAAAATTAAAATTTATGTTTCGCATAGTAAATTGGGTTTTCTTACTCTTATGCATTTCCTTCGTTTTTGTTAAATATTGTTTTGTAAAATTTATTGTCTATCTATTGTCTTCATATAATATGAATGTGCAGCCAATACTTTTTAATTCGCATTTTATATTTTTTATAAATAATAGAGCTTAAATATATTTATGGATTATTATACTATTGTTTAACAGCTTAATTGTTTTACTTTTTTTTCCGTCGATCCTGTCCTCGCCACTACATTAAATAAGTGACTACATAAAAATAAATGTATGGTTTTAGTAATCCCTGATGTGGCAGTATAACTCTTACTTGTTTTAGGCTAATTGAGCAAGGAATTTTCTCTAGAAAATCACCTAAACATGGGAAAAATGCATGTTTTATAGATACAAAGAAACTGTTATCTAAATATTAATTCAGAAAAATGCTTG